TGAGTCTCATAACCTTTGCCTTCCGCGGTCCTGTTCAACACTTAACATAAGTGTCAGTGTAATCCTTCAGTCAAAGACCAACTAAATCGAGAATACACTACAGTCTTTTTTTCCAAGTGGGGACTCACTGCCAGTCTAGACTGTGAACGAATAATTTAGTCTTGTAAGGAACCGATAGGTGATCTTTCTGTTCGAAACTCTTCGAACCAAACTACCTCAATATAAGACATAGAGTATGTATTGCATAAATAAATAAACTACAAACATATGTACTTTGACCGAAACATGAATGCCAGATCAAAATGGAATTGATAGAATCTGCAAAACACAACTTTTACAGCATACCTCTAACAAAGGCATGCCTATTTATAAAGCTCAAAATAAAGATCTAGTCCTAATCTACTTAGACTAAACTACTTACTTTAGGAAAGCAATAAAAATATTAAGTGTCCTAAACGAATAGAAAACAAGGAAATAAAATGTTAACCCAGCTATCTAGAATATTTCTTGCTTGCATCTCAAGCCGCCCTGCCCCGCGTCCGCATTGCCTAATCGCCCAAGGACTAGGGCTTCATCTTCCATTCCCGTGCACGCATCCAGCAGCTCGCCTAATCCTTGCACGCCCAGGCAAGTATGCGCTTGCACCCCGTTGCCTGCGCGTTCAAACCCTATCTCGTCCCCGATAGTGTCGCGCCCGTCCACGTATCGCGCCTCGCCGGCACGATGACTTAGCCTCCTTCGCGCATGCCACGCGCGACTCGCTGCGTTCTTAAGCCTTCTCGCCGTGTTTGCATCATTCCCGTCCCCTTCAAGTGCTTCCTTGTCCTCAAGGAAGAAGTCGGGAACATCTCGCGCATCTCGTCCCAACTTTTCCACGTCGCCTCCTTGCTCGGCAAGTCCTCCCATTCGACGAGCACCTCCCAAATATATTTCCCAGCCTTTTTAACTTGCCGGTACTCCATCGCACGACTCGACCACACAATAACCTGCCCATCCGGCGCAACCGCGGGTAGTCGATCCTTCGCCGTGTGCGTCTCGCCGAGTCGTTGCTTGAGTTGTGAGACGTGTATAACCGGATGAATATGGGAATCGTCCGGCAATTCAAGTCGATAAGCAACCTTCCCAACCTTGGCCAAAATTTTATAAGGCCCGTAATATCGAACTCCGAGCTTGGCCGCGGCCCTTTGCGCGACCGTACTTTGCCGAAACAGCCTCAACTTCAAGTACACCAGTCCCCGGGCTCGAACTCCACGTTACGCCGCTTGCTATCATGGTACGCCTTCATCCTATTGATCGAGCCCTCCAACGTCCGTTTTAGCTCGCGCAACATCAAGTCGTGCTCGACCAACTCTCAATCGACCTCATCGTTCACGGTGCTCCCCATCGAGTAACTCACGATCGTCGGCGGTTTGCGCCCGTACACCAACTCGAACGGCGTCGCCTTAGTCGAGCTATGGTAAGTGGTGTTATACCAATACTTGGACCAAGGTAAATAATCCTCCCATCGCTTTGGAAACTGATGCACATAGCACCTAAGGTATTGCTCGAGTGTGCAATTGGTCACCTGTTAGAGGTATGCTGTAAAAGCTGTGTTTTGCAGTTTCTATCAATTCCA